GCCTCTATACCTCTGTACTTCCACACCTCCTCTGAGTCTCAGTGTGCTTTTCTCTTTCCTTCTAGTTGTAGAATTTCCACTCAGCCAGCCTTCCTGTGGTTCTGGATGATGTCCGTGTTTTAGTTGTATTTTTGAAGTTGTTGTGCAAGGCAACAATTTCCAGTGTTTAACTATGCCGCCATCTGGGTTTCTCCGTATAATCCTACCTTTAAAGAGGAACAAAAAATGGTTTAGGAAAGTTGCCAAAGGTCACACAACTAATTTGTGGGAAAATCAGGGTTCTAATCTAGATCTATCAAATTCCAAAGTCTAAGCATCACCACACATCACTAAACAAATGTTTATTGAAATGAAAATTATGTGTATGTGCCTCTATCTAGACAGATATCCTCACCAAATATCACTCAATATTAGCCCAAAAGTCAAACCTATCTTCTGGATTATTTATAAAATGAGATGTTCTTTTTTTAAGTATGATTTGTAAATTTCATATATATTCTGGATCTTTGATGGCAGTATTAGGCCAAAAATTCTTAGGTTACCTATGTTGAGCTCCTTGACAAGGGCATTTCTTCTCAAAATGTTGCCACCTTTTAGGCACACCTTGTCAAAGAAAAATATTCTATAAACTTGAACAAGGTGGTGATGAATTTATCCTGCAGCCACACTTTTTCTGTGTTTTACAAATCAAACTAGTCCAGAAAAAAAATTAGAATAAATGAATTTGGCAACATTGCAGAATACAAAACCAACACAAAAATCAATTTCACTTCTCTATACCAACAATGAACAATCCAAAAAGAAAATTAAGAAAAAAATTCCACTTAATAACATCAAAAAGAATACAATACTTAGAAATAAACTTAACCAAAAAAGGCAAAAGACTTGTACAGAGAAAACTAGAAAATATTGCCCAAAGAAATTAAGACATAAATAAATAAAATGACATTTCATGGAATGGAATGGAAGACTTAATATTGCTAAGATATAAGTACTAGTAAAAAATGATCGAGGGATTTAATGCAATTCCTATCAAAACCCCAAAAAAGTTTTTGCAGAAATAGAAAAACCCAATCCTAAAATTTATATGGAATTTTAAGGTGCCCCAAATATCCGAAGCAGCTGGGAGAAAAAAAAGAACAAAGTAGGGGGACTTGCTTCAAAACTTAGTGCAGAAAGGAAGACAACTTGCTGGAATAAAGACAGACATAGACCAATAGAATAGACTAGAGATCTCAGAAATAAACCCTTACATGTATAGTCAATGATTTTTGCTCATTTTTGAATTAGGTTGGTTTTTTTGTTGAGTTGTAGTTATTTATACATTGTGGATATTAATCCTTTATCAGATATGTAATTTGCAAATATTTTCTCCCATTCAGAAGGTTGCCAAGACCATTCAATGGGGAAAGAATGGTCTTTTCAATAAACGGTACTGAAAAAAACTGGATATCCACATACAAAAGAATGAAGTTAGACCCTTATCTTACACCATAGAAAAATTTAACTCAAAATGGATCAAAGTTCTAAATGTAAGACTAAAATTCTTAGAAAGAAGCTTCGTGGCATTGAATTTGGCAATGATTGCTTAGATATGACAACAAAGGCTAAGGCAACAGAAGAAAAAAATAGGACTACCTAAAAAAGAAAAAGAAAGAAAAACAACAACACTGGACTACATCAAAATTAAAATCTTGCACATCAAAGGACACTATCAAGAGAGTAAAAGAGCAACCTGTAGAATATAAGAAAATCTTTGCATGGATAGAGCATTGGTCTGCAGAGTAAAGGTTCCCCTATTCAATTCCAGTCAAGGGCATATGCCCAGGTTGCGGGCCCAATCCCCAAAAGGGGGCGTGCAGGAGGCAGCCAATCCAGTCTCTCTCATTTATATTTCTATCTCTTCCTCTCCCTTCCTCTCTGAAATTAATAAAAATATTTTTTTAAATATATTTTATTGATTTTTTACAGAGAGGAAGGGAGAGAGATAGAGAGTTAGAAACATTGATGAGAGAGAAACATCAATCAGCTGCCTCCTGCACATCTCCTACTGGGGATGTGCCCACAACCCAGGTATATGCCCTTGACCGGAATCGAACCTGGGACCTTTCAGTCCGCAGGCTGATGCTCTATCCACTGAGCCAAACCGGTTTCGGCAATAAAAATATTTTTAAAATCAAAAATCAAAAGTGTAATAGAGGACATATATAAGTAACACCCCCAGCTGAGTCTGAGATAATACTCTATAATCCAACTCTTGTATATATCTGTAGAGTTTGTAGCAAATTTATTAAAAATCTACTTTTTTTCCAAGCCATTTTGAATTTAGTTGGGGTTTGAACTTGTGGATAAGGAATTGTAAACATGTATTATTATTTGAAGACTAGAGGCCCAGTGGACAAAATCTTTGCACAGACAAAATTTGTGCACGGGTAGGGTCCCTAGCAGTTGCCGGCTGCCAGCTGGGGCCTTCCTTCGTTCTGCACCGCCCCCTGGTGGTCAGCACACATAGTGAGCAATTGAACTCCCAAGGGGACACTTTGCATATTAGACATTTATAGATAGATAGACAGACAGATAACATGAAGAATATATCTATGCAGTCCTCCATTACTTAAGAAAATGTACTGGGCTGCATATCGGGGTGCGCTGTGCTGTCTGTTCCTGGAACAGACAGATAGGAAGGTACTGACATCAGGTCAGGCCTTGAGATATGGTCTCATGGTCCCTCCTCAATATACTGTGCTCTCTGTTCCTGGAAAACATAGAATGGAAGGTGATAATGCTATACTGTGTTGGGAACAAATTGCGTAAACAAGGCTTTGTAACTTTGTAGTTTTTGCAAATAAATATGCTGTGACTCTTGCAGTCAAGGCTGCAGTTCAGCCTTTGCTTTGGCGGGGTGCTGGGACTGCAGACAGCTGGCCAGCTTAATAAAGGTTCCTAAATTTAAATTCTGAGTCGGTGGTCTATCTCGCTGAGTCAACCCATAACAATATGTATTTTTTAAAAATATTTTATTGATTTTTCACAGTGAGGAAGGGAGAGGGATAGAGAGCCAGAAACATCGATGAGAGAGAAACATCAATCACCTGCCTCCTGCACACTCCCCACTGGGGATGTGCCCGCAACCAAGGTACATGCCCTTGACCGGATCCGAACCTGGGACCCTTTAGTCCGCAGGCCAACGCTCCATCCACTGAGCCAAACCGGTTAGGGCAAGAAAATACGTATTTTTTTAAATATATATATTTTATTGATTTTTTACAGAGAGGAAGGCAGAGGGATAGAGAGCTAAAAACATCGATGAGAGCGAAACATTGATCAGCTGCCTCCTGCACACCCCCCACTGGGGATGTGCCTGTAACAAAGGTAAATGCCCCTGACTGGAACGGAACCCGGAACCCTTCAGTCCATAGGCTGACGCTCTATCCACTGAGCCAAACCAGTTATGGCAGAAAGTATATATTTTTTATGAGGGATGCTATGGTGTCACATCCAAATTCTTTTTGCCAGTAGATGTACTCATTTTCCAGCTATTGCCAGTGTTGGTTGATAACAACTTACAGTTGTCCATTTCTTAGAAATTTGCCCTCAACAAAAAAGGAGCCATCTCTCTTTGGGGCAAGGGAAATGAGGAGAAGGCTTGTCAATGACTGTCTGACATAGTCCCTTATCTCAAGAGATTAATTTATTTCAGAGTTTCCCTGTGGAAACAGCATGAATTCAAAACACTAAAGCTGAGTTTTGAATCCATGCTCTTCCTTAGTTTTTCTCTCCTATGCTGCTTCTATCATCTTCTTCTAACAGTAAATCCCTCAATAAGTCACTTGAACCAGAATCTCTCTCTCAGGTTCTACTTGTAGGGAACCTAACCCAAGACATTTGGTGCCAAGAGTGGTCCTAGACCAGTGACGGTGAACCTATGACACGCGTGTCAGAGGTGACACGTGAACTCATTTTTTTGGTTGATTTTTCTTTGTTAAATGGCACTTAAGTATATAAAATAAATATCAAAAATATAAATCTTTATTTTACTATGGTTGCAAATATCAAAAAATTTCTATATGTGACACAGCACCAGAGTTAAGTTAGGATTTTTCAAAATGCTGACACACCAAGTTCAAAAGGTTTGCCATCACTGTCCTAGACACAGAGAATGGACTGATGGTTGCCAAGGGGTGGAGTGGGCTGAGGGACTGGGTGAAAGAGGTGAAATGATTAGAAGGACAAATTGGGCCCTGGCCAGTGTGGCTCAGTTGGATGAGTGTCATCCATGCACTAAAGAGTTGCTGATTCGATTCTGGCCAGGGCACATGCTCAGGTTATGTATTTGATTCCCAGTAGGGAGTGTGCAAGAAGTAGCTTATGGATGTTTTTCACCGATGTTTCACTTGGCTTCATGACAAAAGAGATGATAAATAACGTATCCTATCTAATAAAGAGGTAATATGCAAATTGACCATCACTCCAACACATGTGATGGCCACCCCCATATGGTCACAAGATGGCCACCACAAGATGGCCAGCAGGAGAGGGCAGTTGGGGGTGACCAGGCCTGCAGGGAAGGGCAGTTGGGGGCAAGATCAGGCCAGCAGGGGAGAGCAGTTGGAGACGATCAGACAGACAGGCAGGCAGGCAAGTGGTTAGGAGCCAGCAGTCCCAGAATGTGAGAGGGATGTCCAACTGGCAGTCCAACATCCCCCAAGGGGTCCCAAATTGGAGCGGGCGCAGACTGGGCTGAGGGACACCCCACCCCCATGCACAAATTTCATGCACTGGGCCTCTAGTCTATAATAATTTTAAAAAGTACAAATTGGTAGTTAGAAAGCAGTCATGGGAATGTAAACTACAAATAGGAAATATAGTCAATAATAATTCTAATAACTATGTATGATGCTAGGTGGGTACTGGAAATATCGGGGGAACACTGTAAAGTATATGATTGTTTAACCACTATGCTGTACACCAGAAACTGTGTACATTATCACAAAATAATGTTGAATGTAAACTGTAAAAATGAATAATAAAAATAAATAAAAATAGGGTTAATAAAAAAACCTGAAACTATACCTATTAAACAACTCCATATCTTCCCCTGTCCCCAGTCCCCAGCAACCACTATCCTACTTTCTGTTCTATGAATTAGACTACTTTAGATTCTTCATTTAAATAGAATCACCCAGCATTTGCCTTTTTGTCTGCCACCCATTCTTGATCTCTTTCAGTTATATATAACTAGAGGCCCAGCGTGCAAAATTGCGCGAGACCCCAGTGTCCACCACACCGCCACAGGGGCAGAACCCCAGATTCTACTGCCCCACCATGGGGTCAGGACCCCAGACCCACCGCACAAGGCAGGACCCCATACCCACTACACCAGTGAGACCCATCAATACACCTCCTGGTGACCAGTTTTTTGGTCATTACGGTGTTATGGCCATGTGATTTATATATATATATATATATATATACTAGGGGCCGGTGCACGAAATTTGTGCACAGGGGAGGGGGTGTTCCTCAGCCTGGCCTGCACCTTCTCCAATTTGGGACCCCCTCAAAGGATGTCCTACTGCCAGTTTACAGGGATTGGACCTAAACCAGCAGTCAGACATCCCTCTCACAATCTGGGAATCCTGGC